CGCCGTGCAGAGGAGGAGCATGGGCAAATGGGCGCCCATCTTCACCATCTTCATATGGCATACAAGACGCCTACGGCCGTATACGGCTTATTACTTGCCCCTGCCGGGGGGGCTTGCCTGCGGCGCGGCGAGAGCGCGCCCTTCGGGCGCGCTCGCGCGTGCTGAGCCACTCATTCCCGTGTCAATGCTTCCCTCTGCACCGCTCGCGCGATGACAGCCATTTAATTTCCGTACGGCGGGGGAACCGGCACGCACAACTCACCCGTTATATAATATTATATGGATAGATGAGGTTGGTCGGCATTTCGTTCCGCCCGGGGTAGCCGCATCCGAGTGCGAGCGTGCTTTCGTAAATTTCCTCGCGCGTCAAGCCGCGTCCCCTTCTTGGCGACGCGGGTGGCGCTGGAGCGAGCGGTGGCGCTGGAGCGAGCGGTGGCGCTGGAGCGAGCGGTGGCGCTGGAGCGAGCGGTGGCGCTGGAGCGAGCGGTGGCGCTGGAGCGAGCAGCGGCGCTGGGGCGCGCGGCGCTGGAGCGAGCGGCGGCGCCGCTGGAGCGAGCGGCGGCGCTGGCGCGCGCCGAGCGAGCGGTGCTGGCGCGCGCGGCGGCACTTTGGCGCGCGCCGCGAACGGTGCTGGCGCGCGCGGCGGCACTTTGGCGCGCGCCGTGGAAGCCGCTGCGGCAGAGTCGCGCGGCGCAAGGCGGCTCCTTTTCGCGGGGGGCGTGGCAGCCCCCCGCGCTCCGCGGCCCCTTTTCGTGCGCGCCATGCGCGCGCGGGCGCGCGCGGGGCAGCGCGCGGGTCGCCGGCGGGAAGGTTCAAACCATGTCCCGGCGATGCTCCCGCTGATAAGCCGAGAACAGCATCTTAAAGTGCACAGCCAACGGCGACGACGACCACAGAATCCTGTGGGCACCGTGCCGGCACCGCTGCGGGTTGCGCTTCGCGCCCTTCGGGCGACGACAGCCATTTAATTTTTTTCGTACGGCGGGGGGAAGGGANGCACAA